GAGGGTTAAAGATAAAGAAAAGAGAGACAAGGAGAGGAGTAAAGAGAAGGAAAGGGATAAAAAGGAGAAGGCGAAAGACAGAGAGAGGGACAGGGGGAGAGAGCAGGAGAGGGTTAAAGCAGAGGGAGGTACATCAACACTGCCGCCGATTAGGAAAAAAGAGGACGAGGAGCGGACAAGGGAGGGAACGAAAACCTCTCAAACTTCCCTGTCTGCACAGAGAGACGAGAAGTGGGACTCAAAGACACAAGTCCACGTCAAGAAAGAGAAGGAGCACGATAAAGAGCGGGAGAGATCACAGTCTCACCTACGGCCGGACAGAGAGGAGGCCCGAGACGCCTGTTCCAACAAACACAAGTCTTCACACGGGAAGAAGGAGAAAAGCGGGCACAGGGAGGGCAGAGAGGGAAACACGTTGAGTACGCAGGCAAAGTCGGGGAGAGAAGACGGGAAGACAGGCCCTCCTAAACCGGCAAACATTCAGGTCAAGAAAGATGGGAAGAAGGATAAAGACGTCTACAGCAAAGAGGAGAGGAAGAAGGCTGCCTCTGGTCCACCAGAACACAAACAACCACGGACGCTCATCACCTTTGACCTCTTTAAGCCCATGGAAGCTCACCAAACTCTGGCTCTCTCTTTCACGGAAAGTCGGCCTAAAACACACCATCACAGTGACTCTCGGGGCACTTCCTCTAAGCCCGGATCTGACAGTCGGACAGTAACGCCCTCTAAAGGTTCAAAAGCAAAGGACACAGTGCAGGGAAAACCTGCCACACCCGTACAGGACACTCGGCCACCGCAGCACTCATTAAAACAGCCCCTTAAAACACACACGCCGCAAACACAGAAAGACTTCTTAATATGAATGTCTAGATGTCTAGTCTTCTTTTTTTACTGTACAACTTACGCCATGGCTTTGTTAAGATATTTGAAAATGCATCCTTTCTTAAATGGTCTTTCTAGTTTGTAATCAAGGAGCGGGGTGCATCCCATTTCTTTGCTGACAGCCACATTACTCCAGTGACGTAGTGAAAAGAGGATGCACTCTCCAAGTATTTTATCAGTGCCTAAGAATGTAAGCTAAGTAGCTCACTTCACGTTTGTTAGCGAATGTATGTAGGCTCTATATATAATGTTATGTGACCCATGTGTCAGTGCCTGTGCACTACTTAGCTTCGCTCTTAAAGCACCTATTTTAGGTACTGGACTAGCCAATCTGAAAACAACCATCCTTACTGCGCTCTATAGGAATTACCTACGTTCACCGCGCTGCTGCTGAAATGCCATGTGGCTTTATTCGATGGGGTTTGTCATTTGTAACACTCCAAAATCGGAGCAGGTTGTTGTTTTCAGACTGGACGTTGTTTGACTCACACAGGGCTGTAAATTATACTGTATGTACCAAAACTGTACAGTATAGATGTTATTAGCACCAATGTGAGAAAATGTATACAGAAATTGCATATATTTTTTGTAAGACAAGTTTTATTTTCCATAGAACTTATTTATATCATTTACTGTCTGTTTTTAATTTGAAACCAATATGTGAAATTTTGTTGTAAATACATTTTATTTCCTAAGATAAGACTTGGTAGTGTGATTTATACTCTGATCAGAACCTCTCAATAAATGGTTCAAAAATAATGACTTGGTGTTGATGACTCTACTGCATTTCATATCATAAAGGTTTCAGTATAAGTCGTTCTGGCTACTTTAAGGGGCAGTGTGTAGGATCTCCCTCCCTTTACAAGAGCCGCCAACTGCAAAACTGACAATGTTTTGGTATCTTTAATTATACTTGCCTGGCACAGAGGCAATCCTAACTAATTACTTTAAAAGCAATCAAATTGAGGCGATAGTACTAATACAGTTGTAAAAGCGTGTCGTTACTGCGATGGCCTTCAAGAACATTCTGGGTGTTTCTCAATGTCGAGGAAAGCTGCTCCAGAGACACTATTTCAAGGATACTACGCCATTGAGTCCCGCCGAAGGATTGTTCCAATGTCCAGGATACTTGGAATTCTACCGAGGCCGGTGTACTTCGTTGCGGGAAATTTCGAGGCTGCACATGTGTAGACTCCGGTCTTAAGACCTGGACATTGGAACAGTCCTTCGGTGGGACTCGATGACGTAGCATCCTTGAAATAGTGGCTCTGGAGCATCCTTCCTTGATATTGAGAAACACCCACTGACTCGGAGGTACATGTGCTACCAAGCAAGCCTCCTCGACATTGAGAAACACCCAGTAACTTGGTTTTAGGAGATCATACACTAATAAAAACATGAATTAATATTATATTCCCTTTATGCAAAGAAATTCTTTTAGATACTCCACACTGGCCCTTTAAGAGTATTTGGTCTAGAGATGAGGATATTCGATCAATTACCATGAACTTTGGTGCTACAAAAGTACTTTTATATTTGAGGACATTTAGGGTTTTACATTCAAATAGTGTCAGTGGCAGAGAGACATCTTGGGATGGCTGACAAATATAATTCATACATGTGTGTACAATCACATATGAGATCTGTGAGGTTTCTGCTGCTTTACAGAAGCGATCAGATAGTGATGAAAATGTTAACAGTGATTTCATAAACACATGTAGTAGTATGGCTCAGTGGCACACAGTGTATGCTAGTGCATATTGGGTTAGTGTTTACATTAAGTGTAGCAAGTGACTGGTTTTGGATCACCATGGCAGATCTTCTGTGCCTCCGTTTGCTTAGCCTTAACTCTTAAACCCAGTGGCGTGTGAAAGTATAGGTTCATCTTCTTGTAGTTCTTATTATCCTTGACCTAATTCATCCAATTCTGCAACCAAAAGCAATAAGGCAGTAATGTGAACGCTAAAACAATGCTAAGGCTGGTTTTATCCAAAAGATGCAACACTGTGTGGACTAGTGTACATGAAATCTCCAAGCGTGTAAACCACATTTTGCGAAAAGTCACGGTGGACAAATGTGCACACTGCTGGGATCGCTACCACAAGTCATTGAGTCTGCTACCTGCTGTGATTTAAATAAAATGTAACTTACAGCAGACACTGTGAATGTTAAAATGACATTGACAAAGAATATGTATATAATGTCGATATGTCTGAATGATACCGGTCCACTTTATAAGGGTCAGTATCGGCCCTGATACACATAGTGAATCAGATTGGTGCATCCCAAGCGAGACATTCTTGAGCATAAAAGGTTCTCTCCCTTACTTTACATTTAAAATCCTTGTTTTGCAAAGTCGTGTGGTTCATTCCCTCCTGTAGTGGAAAACATTGTGTCCTAGCTCCACCAGCGCTCCACCCATTAGGACCCACAGGGGGATACACACCAAACTGACCCACATTTCAGTGAGCCTCTCCAAGCGGGAGCACAGTGTAAGACAGAAGGCCAGCTTCAGCAGCATGGCTGTCAGGTACCACAGCTTCCTCTTCAGGCTCTGTTCACCATCTCTGGGGTCAAAGTCCGGCTTGCAGCGCCCCGCCATCTTCACAATTAGCATGAGGATGAGGATTGTGTCAAAGGTCCACACAGGGAGGAAGATGAGAAACCAGTTCCAGTGGATTTTGGAGTCCAGCTTTAGGACCAGCATGATGAGGAAGACCAGGGCGAAGATCCAGGAGAGGAGCACTCGCTGGGCCAGGGACATCTTCATCTACAGAGGGCTGGCACAGAGCCAGGGTCAACCCCACCACAGAGACTGAGGAACACACACACACACACACACACACACACACACACACACACACACACACACACACACACACACACACACACACACACACACACACACACACACACACACACACAGCAGGCTTAATCTCTTTCTCTCATGGATGTATTGACTGAGAAATAGGAGGTTACTTTGTTCACACATCAAAACTCCCTCCACTAGCTCTCAGACTTTTAGAAAATGTAAATCACTTTTTTAAAGACCCATTTTTCTTTTACTTCCACTTCTTGCTACTGTATGGTGGCTAGCTTTGTAGCTTACATGATACCCAAAAAAACCTTGTTCAAAGAAAGATGTCTTACCAAGTAGACCAGGGGAGTCAACCTTTTAAAAAACCGACTCTTCACCAGCGACACAAACGTCAGCACTTTTAAACAGACGATTTAGTTTTAAGCTTAAAGTATCTCAATGACAGCGAACATTACAGTGTAGTTAGCATTTAGCATTTAGCCTCTTCCAGATGAAGATGAACTCCGCCAGCAGTTACTGCAAGTTTCCGGTAAGTCTTTACAAAACAAAAGCATACTTTAAAATAGAATAGCTGAAGACTTCCGGTACACCCTTTCCAAATAAAAAATGAATTATTTTATCAGCTGATAAATGTTTTGATAAATAACTGCAGGTGGTTTGTAGCTTCTATTGAGAACACCCAGTTCATGTTAACTCCAGGTCCAGTACATTTCTCCCCCACTGTGAATAGTTATATAATAAATCTATGAAGTAGAATTTGAGTTGAGATTTACTATTGCCACAATCAAAATATATATCGAAAGCTCAACCCTGAGGGTGATAAAAACGAATAAAAACATGCAGAAATTAGTTATTTTTAAATCTATTTATAAAATATGAAAAATTCTAATTTTTTATGGTCACTGGTCAAAGTTGAGGCGTTTGTGGTAGGTACACTGGGGGGATTTGGACTTACGACCTCAGTTTTTCTAAATTCCTGGCCCTTAATTATAGATTGCTTAATGGAGTTTGACTCAACGATAACAAATATATCCAACTTTGACTGTATGTCCCCTCTTCTTAATGTGCAAGCACATAAGAAGACTGTGTAGCTACTCATATACTTGGCAGTATTAATCAGGGCAACATTTTACTTATGATAAATCAAGTGTTAAAAGAAGGTGATAACCAATGGTTTTAAATACTTTTCAAATGTATTTATTTTTTTACTGGGCTAGTATAACAAATTAATACAAAGTACAACTCCGAAGACATCATAGATTGTCAAAAAAAGTAAAGTACAAAACGCTTGAGGTAAAACATTGTTTGAAAAAGATTCAGATAAAAAGCCCTTATTAAAATCTCAAGTAATTTAAAGGTAAAAGCTCACTTTACACTATCAAGCTGTCCTAAAAAACAACAATGCATTTATATTTACAACATAGTGGTGGTGCAAAATACAGTGTGTGAGACGACATTCAGTCAAAATGTTCATGTCTTTATCAAATGTAAACAATAAACATAATCATTCCTCAAAGTCCGGCTGTAGGGAGCTAATACAGAAAAGCAAATGTTGTCACACTGATGTCTGTTCTAAGATAAGAAGTTTGCATTAAACCTCTATGACCGCCGCTGACAATAAAAACAATCCAAAAGTCAAAATGTTCATAAGATGTCGTACAAAAGAGAGAGCAGAAGACCTCATTACTGTTACTGCTAAAAGCAGACAACAAAGCGTAAACAGAATATATAAAATACACATACAAAACAATCCATGATAAATATGTAACGTTTCTGTCACTTTCCCATGTAAATGGTGGCCATCTTATTAGTTGAGGAAAGAAACTGATGCTGTTTGAAAACCTCATAACTCTAATGATGATGTTAAATTCAGTTAAAGATTGTCTTGCTTCTCTTTGAGTTAAAGGATATTATTATTGTTTATATATTGTCAACAAATCTTGTTCTTTTTAAGACATACATTTTCTAAAATGCTAGTAATTCTGCACTGTAGTTAAGTTAATAGTGCATTTTTTGGGGACATCTTTCAGCCATAGATTAATTCACATCTGATGAACTAGTGAGTTTTTACAGTACCAGCAAATTGAATGTCTGATTGAGTCATTATAAACTAAAGTGCCCGTTTTTATTCAAATCAGGTAACAGGTTAGTGCAACTGTATGGCACATTCATGTGTTTTTTGTATTTTTGGACAAGATGGAGGTCTGTGGCAGTGGAACATGATAAATTAGGATTTGTCTTCAGAAGAAATCTTTCTGAGATTCCTTCATTGCTGTTCATTTCAGAGAGTTGTTGACAATAAGAAAATTAAAGAATCTCACCAGATTTATCCCTTAGGAACTTAATGCAACGTATTTTGTGTTAATGAAAACATTGGAAATCTCTGGATAAAGACCTTGGATAAAGTCGCAGCTATATCCCAAGTTCAAAACTTGGTCAAACATTTTAGAGCATTGATAATAATAATTCCACTGGGATTTGCTTAGTTTTTTGTTGGATGAACAGTTGAAACTTTAGAGTTGCAAGGTTTTCATTCACCATTGAAAGCACTTGGAATGGACTAATAAGAACGGAAGATGGTACCAATTTAATGAAATGTTAGCCACAGCTACACAGTGCTCTGCCTGCTGTCACGGCAGTACCCCATAGCCTCTGAGGAGTGAGGTGGGAAATCAATAAATATCCCATCTGAGTCTGAGTCTGCAGAGTCTAGCACTTGTCCAATAATGGTTTCAGGGCTGGATGATTCACTGGGCGGCGAGGATGATGCACCTTTACTGAGATCAGTCATTGTTGTTGTAGCCTCAGTGCCGTGCAGAGCTCCTGAGGAATGAAGGAGATGGATAGAGGCAGACGAAAGAGGCAAGGCCATGGCACCCACTCCCGCTCGTACAATACCTATGAATGAGAGGGTACTGGATTATTGAGCATTTTTACAGTAGGATTTCAGTTTTTTTTCAGACATCTTAATCTGTGACATACCATTGAATTGAGAGCCCACACACAGCCTGTTGGAGGAGGGGCCAGACAGTTCAGATCCGGAGGCCAAGTCAGCGTAAGCCAGTCCTTGTTCCCCCAGGCATGTTATAATCTCGCAGGCCGAGTGGCGCCGAATTCCTCCACTACCAACAGAGCTGGCATCTGGGTCATACTCGGCCACAGGGGTCAGCAGCAGAGGGATATTGTAGCTTTTGGATCGTACCACAGGGTTTTTAGACGGTTGATCTGTAGACTTTGACCAGCCCCACGGTGAACGCTTCTCTGAGAGACATAAAAGAAGGAAGGGAGGGTTAACTTTATGTCTCTTTCCAGAATTGGGCAATTTTTACTCTTCTTTTTGAGGTTCACAGTCTCACCCAGAACACAGCAATGAGACTCAGCCCCGTCTTCAGAGTAAAGCCCGTGTGTGCCCAGGTAGGGCGAGACCACCTTCTGAATCAGAGACTCCAGCCTCAGGTATTCCTCATTTACACCGCGCGACTCATGGACCCCCTAAACCCAGACAGAGACAGACAGGCATCAAAGTCACTCCAGTATAAATCAGCCTAAAGCTGTTCATTAGTGCTTTAGAACCATGAAAAAAACTATTCACAGAATAAGCTATTTATTAAATAATAATATCGCAAAATAAATGTTCTTGCATGTCTAACATCTCAAATGTAGAATGTTACTACTATAATAGTTGAGACACTAAGAAACAAAAGAAAAAAATGAGATACAATAAAACAATAATAGGCTCAGATCGACAATCAACTGTTGACTACTGAATCACATTTACAAGTTTTCACAACTAATTTGTCTATTCTATTCAATCAGGTACTAATTTGAGTCTAAATACAGTTGGTGTTTTTATTCCATTTAGTTTGATGTGTGATTTGCAGGCCTACCTGTAGAATAAGCAGCATCTGTGTAACAGAGGGGGGAACACGGGCCCGAGGTCGAGATAGGGCGTCCTCCAACTTTACGCTCAGGACTATGGTGTTCCTGAAGTGAAGCAAAGCTAGCTGTCGGACAGAGGGCTCCTTACCCTGCACACGTTAAAGACAACAAAAAAACAGAAGAACTTAGCAATAATGATCATCATCCAGTGAAGTTGTCAGGCAGCAAGATATTTATGTACCTGGACCGGATGGAAGATGGCCTGCAGCATCGACAGAACATCACAGAAGAAGAAGTCCCAAGTCTCTGCCAGAGAGTCAAGTAACTTCTGACCTGCATTGATAACACATACAGAAGAAATAGAGTTGACTCAAGCTGGGTTCATGGACACAGACCACAACAAAATGCATTCAGACTATCTTTCAGTTAGCCATACCTTCATAAAACCTTATTTTGTCCCGAAGGATGACCATGCCTTTTGTCAGCAGCTGGTTCTGTGAACACAAGGAAATATACCATTAAATATAAATATATGAGACACCACCGCTTTCATTTTGACGCCTTATACTAACCCTTATTTTATATCATTCGATATCAAAAGCTTATTACCTGAAGGTATTCTGTGAAGAAGAAACCCAGCTCAGTCTTCAACAGATGCCTGAAGAAACAAATATGTGGATTACTTTATGACTCACACACAACACTAAATTATTCAGAAAATCTTTATTTTGTGGAAATGAGGTGTTTAAACCTGCAATTTATTACTGAACTGCATTCCATGTGACTGTGTAACACCATGAAAATTAACACCAGGATGTCAAGCCAACTACTAAGGTCTCTGTTTTCGTCGGTCCACCTCCTTGTTGCTTTTCTTTACATGGAAATTATGTTTACTGGGCTGATAGGATAGAAGTGATGGGTCTGGTTCAGAAAGATAATGACATATCTTGCATAACCACATGACTTTCCAAACCCACATACAGTTCACTGACACACGCAAACAAATAAACTCATTCACAAGAAAATGTTCAGTCAGCCAACATAGGATAGGCAGTGATTAGACTAATTATAGCACAAAATGACATCAATGGTCGAAAATAAGGTTGTTTTCTCTGTACTGTGTGAATGTGTGGCAGTTTCTTTCTAAACTTACCGGACACCTTCGTTGAGGACGTAGAGTTCGTTATCGGCCAAGCCTTTCTTCTGGAAGACTGCTATGACAGCGTTGTGGATGCTGCAACACGGCATAATCTTTTTTAGTTCAAAATTAATTTTAGCCGCTGAGGTTTTTTTTCCACCGTGGTTGTATTATGCCGCATACCTGTTCCAGGTGGCGTTTGATCCTCCCTTCTTCTGCTTTTCTCCTCTTTCCTCCGGAGAACTTTTCTCACTCTTCCCCAGCTCACTGAGGCTTGGGGAGCTCATCAGCTTCAGCCGGTGCAGAGTCCTCATGAGGGAGATATAGAGGAAGTGGTAAGAAACAAGTAGTGGACAGGAGAGAAAGCAGGTCAGGCTACAAGCTGACATACAGAGAAGAACCCAGAGGAGATAGCCAGAGGGGAGAACATAAGCAGTGTGAGTCTGAGAGAGGGATAGAGTATGCAGAGAAGGAAAAAGCACAATGACAATAGAAAGAGAAGCCGGTGACAGAGGAAGAGAAAAGTAGGACAGAATGATGCATGGTGAGAGAAGGGCAGCCCGTTAAGAGCAGCATGGGTGGAGCCAAGCCGAGAGATGGGCCAGCCCTCTGCCTGAAGTCTCAGAAGAGGAGGAGGAAACAATAGCACATGCACTGACAGGGGGCATACTTCCTCCCTCTCTTTTAGTACAATACAATCATTGATGCAAACTAATATTTATGCACAGAAGCCGCAGGAACTGCAGGATAAGCAGACTGAAGCAGTTGGGACTTTGTTGTGCTTGTCACTGTACAGCGAGGAGGCGGAGGAGGAAGTCGTTCTGCTTATTAACAACAACAACAGGGATAGGAAGCAGTGACACAATGAGGGACAATAAAGAAGGTTTTCCTGCTCTCCCATTTTCAGCACAACTTAAGCAGGACAACAAAAGTAAAAAAGCAGAGCAATGGGTCAGACTAGAGGAGCCTGATACCGGATCTTGAAGCTAAAAATGCTTTTGATATTTAAGAGTTTAAAGGTTTTCCTCTTTAATGTATTTCCCCGGGCCTAACATAGATTTAAAGGTTGGACCAATCATATATTTTTCTATCCTGTCAGACAGTATTACATATCTTAGCCTGTTTGAACAATTCCTTATGATGTTTAGAACTTTCATGAATTAAATATTTAATCCCAAGGCTCCATACTTTCATGACTATACCAATCCAACAAATGTATGCATTCTACATCTTTTTGAACACATTTTCCCCAATCCAACTTGACATACTATATCTTTGGACATTTGTGTATCTCTTTTAGAAATATGTAATAAAAGAAAAGTTTAGCTGCACATTTTGAGTATATAATAAGTGTCCCAGCACTGGTAGGCCACTGATTGTTTAAAAGGTTGAATGATTATTGATTATTGGGAATATTAAAACGATCAATGATAACAATAAAACAGCAAGAGTTATCACAATATCAGATTTTCATTACACGATTATCATTGCCAATATAATTGACGTTGGTATTGCGTTTTTATAGATACATTTGAAGGAAAATTATAATTGGTTGGGGAGATTAAATGTGAATGGAAAGAAAAGGAAATAATGTATTCACACAGTATTATAATATGTGTTTTTCTCAAATGATATCACTATTCTATGTTTTTTAAATCAAAAATATTGTTGTAAGCGCCTAGCCTTACATCAGCCAATAGTAATTTACAGATTCATATTGTCGTCATAGAATTTGTCAATCTAGCTCTATATGAGACAACCTCCCATCCATTATATATTTCCCTGTTGAATCCTAACTCATTTCAGAACATGAAGTAAACACTGTTTAGCATATTTTCAAGAGGTACTGGGGAGAACCAGCACCTCGAAGAAGGGGTAGAAATTATGATTTTAAACCCATGCTTTCCACAAACTCTCTGCTGACAGCAATGCAGTCAACAAAAGGCCACCTTCCACGCCCACACACACACACACACACACAAACACACACAGAAAACATGGAAGGCGAGTGTACAAATTGATGAGAAAACAAACATCCCACCAGGAGATCATTAGGTCAACGTGTGTTGAAAGCACGGTTGTTTAATGAAATCATTTGGGAGGAGCAGTGGTGGGATCTTTATGAATGCTCATTAATATTTCATGCATTTTCCAGGATGCTGTGTGTTGTGAAATTTTAATCCCAGGAAACTGAGCCTCACCTCCTGATTGGATGCTCACTGCTGCTGTCCATGTCTGGGCTTGGGGGAGGGGCAGAGAAGGTGCTGAAGTTGAGTGACAGGGGTCTGGTGGAGGGCCGGGAGGCATGCCTCCGCCGGAGTCCATCAAGCATCTAGACATAAGTGAGGAGACAAAGGACATTAATGAAACCTATCATCAAAGGCACATACCAGAGCGTAACAGGAGGGATTACAAGCAGCTGTGTGGGGCATCAGGGGAAAATGATACTCCTACACCTACTTTGATTCAATTAATAAAATAAAGGACACTGAAGCCCCTAATACAGACAAAACATATGAAAGTAAAAACACAAGTTGCACATTTGTGACCTAGGTGTTTTCTGTTTACTTTGTTATTTAAATACTATGAAAGAGTGTTTTGCAATCAGAGCTCAAGCTACGCCCTAACCTTGCCACAATTACACACACACATTTCATCAGAGAGAAAAAAGGGAAATGCATGTGTGTACATGTCCAGTGTGAGTGTGAGTGAGAAGTATTCCTGTAAAAGCCACACAGCCAGTATGACTGTACAGTATTATAATGTATTTGGGTGTCTCCCCCATAGAAACACAGTAGGCATAGTAAAGCACCATCCCCTGGTCAGAGGGGAGAACAACAGTCTGGGCTGTCACTCCACAGACAAAGACTCTACACGAGCCTCCCTGCCACCCTGCCTGCGTGATAAAATGGGTGATCTGAGTGTTTTCAGATGGCTTGGCCTGCAGTCTTATCAGAGTAATATAAATCCACATCTCAGCCTGAGGCTCAGAGACAGACTGCCCGACATGCCATGCCAGGCCAGTCTGGGCATTTCTGCTTTTGTTCACCCCTCCTCTTTCTCTTTCAGGAGCGACTACAGTCAGATCGATAACACTTTTAATTTAAATTGGGCTCTATTGCTTTTCTGGCTTATTGATATCCCAGTGTACTGCACACATGTTGTTTATTCGACATAAGACAATCAATCGCACAGACGCGCGATCAACAGTCCACGTTTTTCCGACAGGAAGGAATGTACAGCCAGTCGTGCGTACGTGGAGGGTTTTCTATTTTTTCTACCTGTACTGACGAGAGAATGCAGCCAAGTCCCTCTCTAAACATTGTCTTATGGACACACACAGACACGGGCACAGATGCATCATAAAGTATGGTTAAAAACTGTCTGATTATGGCCACAAAGTTGTCGTATGTCATGCGCCTCTGCCCGCCCACTGTAGCTCTCACCGTGCCTTGTCCTGTCGTGTTGTTCCTGGAGGGATGAAACGGTCCTGTAGCACCGGGCTGAGGCGTTCACTGTCCGGGATCATCAGCGGCTGGTTCCTCTACTGTTCCCCTGTGGTCAGCGCACCCGCACTGGCATCAGGGTGCAGGCTGAGGGTCTCTCTGTGCTGTAGAGAGGGACTCATTCATGAAGCATGCGCTGACGCTCGCTCGCTCGCTCACTCACTGGCTCGCCCCCGCTTTGTTTTGACGAGATGCAAAGCGAACCATGGGCGCGTGTACGCGAATGCGAGCAGACCGTGTACGCGCATTGTGGTTATAGGTTTATGCAAAACAGGGAAATCACTGGGATCCAAGGGAAACACAGAAGCAGGGGTTGTGGCATGCACCGACACGACAACGTGATGCGTTTATTCATTAAGTTTTAAAAACGCAAACGATCTGAAGACATAGACCATATACATAGTTAAAAGACTACTCCTTAGATGCAGTATGCTATATTTGAATCATAGTACAACCGAGCTACATGTGCAGACATTTATAGAGGCCTACATGCACATCGATGATTTGGTCTCGTGTAGGCCTACACAGCATAGAGCAGACTGTAGCCTACTTGGTACATGTGGATGTGTAAACACAATAGAAGGTAGTAAACGCATATTATCCATAGATTTTATCCAACACTGACCCCAATCTATGCAGTTTAACACAGTGGGTGTCTTGCCATCTGTCAAAGCACGCCCGGGCATTTAGCAGATAATCCTGCATTTCCACACTAAAAAATGGCTGTGAAATCCACAGTTATTTACAGTGTTTGTGCACAGTAAATTACTGTAAAGCATTTTAGAGTATAATACCGTGTTTCCAACCAAACATTACAGCAACTCTGGAGTTACTGTGTCAATATCGACATAAAGATGTGTGTGTAGAACGAAGGTGCTGAAGTTGTCCTCAGTAAAACCCCCGATAACCCTTTTTTCAACCCTTGGGGACAAATAATGTACGACCCAATGACACCTAATAGATGTCTGTAAACAACCAATGACACCTAATATTCGCATCTAGATGTCATAACAACCCAATGGAAACAGAAGATGTCATGTACAACTAATGACACTAATAATGTCCAGTAAACAACCAATGACACAATAGATGTCATGGTAACAACCATGACACTAATAGATGTCATAACAACCAATGAACAACTAGAAGATGTCATGTAAGAACCAATGACACTAGAATGGTCATGTAACAACCCCAATGACACTAATAGATGTCAATAACAACCAATGACACTAGAAGATCGTCCCCAAGGGTTGGAAAAAGGTTCCTCGGGGGGTTTACTGAGGACAAACTTAACGCCATTAATTTCAATTTTCAGAGTTTTACCGATGTGATGAAAGTGGTTTGAGATACTTACACCTTCATAAAACAATATTTCCTCCTACTTTTTGCATTAATTCCTCGTATAACTCACTGAAACTTCCAATACCTGAGTCCAAATTAAGTAAACTACGGGGGACATCCTTTTTTTTTTCTAATTTCCTGCCGCCGTTCACCTTTGTTTAAGTGTTCCCTATTTGACAAAATTTTGTGTACGAGTTTCATTTGACCTGGGCCAAGGCCCTGCTTTAACGCAGTAAACGTCCCTTGCAGATTCCCTTGAATTATAAATTATTTGTTACTTACAAAATATAGGTATATTGACTTAAGGTAAATTGACTAGAAAAAGTAAATTTATTTTTTTATTTTGAGTTTTTACGATTGTGACTGGAAGACTTAATCGGGGCCTGCACTTTTTTACGATTGGATTAATGACGTGGCTTTTTAGGTTGTGTAGCAAAAACTAGCATTCCTCTGTGTCTTGATAACATGGGTGGAGTTGTGAGTTTCTAATGTTTAAGCACCTCTTTTATTGTTTTTGGATGTAGTTTTTGTACACCGCGGTCCATCGGTTTTTGCGATTGTACCCGAATGGGAACCAGAAACCAGACCGAGTTTTGACCAGAAGTTACGTAATTTTGCTATTTTTGCTCCTACATCAATTAGGTATCCAATTATAGGTTACACTGACACACAGGGAAAAATTTACAAGACTATTAGGTATTCGTTGTTTTACGCAAAGGCAAAGGATCTTCAGGTCTCGCTTCAGTCAAAGATGGGAGAACGACGTTCGAACGTACTCGTTTTCTGCGGTGGAAAACACAATTGTACTCACACACGCCCTGGCTAAAGGGAACCTAAGACAACCGAGATTGCCAGTCCTTCTCTACAGTGTACAGTTTTTAACTCGTTTCCCCCGGTCTCTATACCTTTTAGGTGGGTTTACGGCGGTCTTCTCCCCAAAAAAACGATTTAGACAGATTTTTCCCAGTTTAGTGAACAAAACGTAGTTAGAACTACGTCCCATGAATATATACAACTGAAACCTAAGGAGATTTCGAAAATCAGATGATTGGGTAGTAGGGTTCCAATCAAAAGTGATATTTATGTTTTATATAAACCTGTTCTGTGATATTAAATGGTCAAAAAATGGTAGGTAGTAAGTAGGTAGGTAGAAGAAGGCGAATAGGCACCAGCCCAGCGCCCCATCGTCAAGGTCGTCTCTCGGGGTTTTGAAAGAAAAAGGAACCGGGTGTAGTTGGTCGAGACTGACCCCCTAAGGGTTCCGCGAGGGTCCGGTCGCTTCTCTATATTTAGGGAGGTAGACCAAGATTCCAGATGGTGGAAACCAGAGAAGGTCGACCTGCACGGACCTTGTGGAGGGAATCCCTCCCGCGGTCCACCGTAGGGATTGATCCACGGGCTTGGTGGAGTTGACCGAGGAAAGCTGCGCTTCCTCCTCGCCGAGTTGAGAGGCTCAGGGAGGGACTACTGGCTTGAAGAGTGGAATAGGGATTCCCTCTGTGGTCGGTGGGACGCCTCTTTTGGGTAGAGGCCGCGCAACAATAGGGTGCTAGAGCAAGAAGCTAGTACTGGCGTAGGAAGTACTGGTATCCACTCCCATCCTTGCTTTTACCGGGCCATCTGTCTCTCAAACGGAAGACCGACTCGAGAGAAAAAACAGTGTTGCCACGCCATTTCGCTGACGTCATGGCGATGGCGCCGAGGCTAAGAGGCCGGGTAGAGTGCGAGGTAACAAGGGAGTGAGCTCTTTATTCTGGGGCTCTATGAACTTGAGGAAGTGAACCCCATTCCCTGAGTAAGGGATGAACCTCACCTGTCAGGTAGTCAAAGGACGACTCTTGGTTACCGGAGTCTAAACCTCCACGCGACTAGGAGTAAGGGTCGGCGAAGTGTGAGCCAACGCTTGACTAGGTCACTCACGACTTCCAGCGTCTGGCTAATTCGGTAATCTTGGGTTAGTAGACGTTTTCGTCACCACGTTAGGAATCAGGTGGCTTGACGTCTGGGGAGGGGGTGCTGATGGCGGACTTTAGGCTAGGTACCATATAATGTTATGTCCTAACCCACTGTTTTGCGTCGGGACCGCCTCCGGTTGGGAGTGGGAGGATGACGCTCCTGGGCCTGTGTCGAGAAGCGGAAACCCTCATGTCTACTACCCTACCGGGACTCTCATCTCTCCCTGGAGGGAATGGATGGGGTCGTGAGGGCTGCGTACCCTCATGAGGCCAGTAGTCAAAGATCGATCTCTTCCGACTGGCTTTCGAAGGGACCTCATGACACGCAGTCAGCCCTCATAACTTCTCAAGTTCTGGAAGTGGCGCAGGTTGTTTCAGCTCTCCAGATTGCTCTTAGGCAGTAACAAGGAAGGCTTGTGTATATCGAATGGTTGATACTAAGTTAGGCCTATTCGCATGCAGGGTCCGGGAGAGGTACTCAGGAACTCTCTTTCATTGTCGACTAGGCAGCAAGGATGCTGGTCCTGCTTTAGGCACAAGGCGTACAGGAGGGATTAGGATGGTATAAGTAGACGTAAAGAAGTATCTTGTATTAATATTATTAAGAGACTAGACACATAAACGGGAATAATCAGATCGTTTGTAACGTTCAAATATATTTCTACTGTTAATAGTTAACATATAAAAAAACTAGACATTACATGAATCTGGTGAAATCATACAGTGTTAAGTAGTATACGTGAATGTATTCAAGTCATTCGATTTTATTTTTCAGATTTATACTCGTCTATTTATAACCCCTGGAGTTGTGAAGTACTGTACCGGTCCGGACCGCGGTGTGGGACGCTAGAACGCGGGGTTGCCTAGCCCCTTGGTGACTCAAGATGTCATGTAACAACATAATGACACTTTATGGTATAGGGGTTAATCTAAAGCACAAGAATCAATGAGTGCACATAATAGAATGTGTCATGTCAACACACCATATGCACACTAATGAGTTTAACAAGCCAAACCTAAATGACACGTTATACTAGGATGTCATGTCAACCTACAGACAATAGAATCGACACTAGAAGATGTCAATGTAACAACCAAACAAAATACCACTAATACACCCATAGATGTACATAGGTAAGTACAAGTCCCATTGTCCAGACTATATAGATGTCAGGTGGTAAGAGAACACAGACCGATGACGCTAATTAGCATGTCACCATGTAACACCAATGACAACTAATAGATTAGACTAACACCCAATGACCCACTTATAGAATGTCTGTAACAACCAATGACACTAATAAGAAACAACCAATGACACTTATATAGATGTCATGTAACCGCATGAACCAAAGTGACACTTATGGCAGTACACTAATACCTGATGATGTAACAACCATACCTAAGATAAAAGAATGCACACTACAATGTCCAATTGACCATACGCCAAGACACTAATAGATAACAACCAATGACCACAGCTTCATGTAACACAATCACTCGAGATGTCATGTAACAACCCAATGACACTAGAAGATGTCAGTGTAACAACCAATGACACTTATAGATGTTCAGTAACAACAATAACATGACTCTATATATCGCCTTGATCACATGTACCAAACGTAAAAACCAATTACACTTTATACGTCATGTAACAACCATAATACACCAGAATAGATGTCATGTAACAACCATGACACAAGATGATGTAACAACCAATGACACTAAAAGATGTCAACCTTGCAATGATGAC